AGAGAGATAGAGAGAGAGAGAGAGAGAGAGAGAGAGAGAGAGAGAGAGAGAGAGAGAGAGAGATTAGAAAATGTGTGATTATTAAAAGAAAAAAAAAAAATCTCTCATCGGTACATTTAATATAACGCTAATTCATTATTACAGACATTATTGGATTTACGGTAAACGGATAAGCGATTGATTACAATTTTGTCCTAATGTTCAGAGAAATAAAACAAGGAAATACACATCCGTTCCCGTTCTACACTTCCGGTTCTGCATAATACCATATATTCTTCCTCTTCTGTCGCTCGTTTTGAAGTTTAGATCTTGTTGGATTTTATTTATTAATTTCATTTTTTTTTTTGTTACAATGTATTTTATACAAAACTGTCAAATTTTTTTTTATATTTGTTATTATTATTATTATTATTATTATTATTATTATTATTGTTTATTATTAATGTTATTTGCCAATGAAAGAACGTTTCAAATATATAATTCCTATTATATTGAATTATATAGAAGGCATAATAATTTTTCTTGGCACATTTCGTTTACTACGTTTAAATATCTGTCGCTATTTTTAATAATTGTCTATCATGTTCTCATTGATTATATATTGGCTAAATATATTCTATCATGCTTGCGTTAATAGAAACGTACCAATGTATATTATTATGGTTCACTGAATATAAGATAAACTCTCTTGCAAATATTTGAAGATATACTTATAAATTTAAGCGAGTGATAGCCAAATAATATTTGGAACGAGCGACAGATAAGACGTAATCATTGCGTTTTATGTTCCTTTCTTTTTCCATTCGACTCGTTTATTTCGTTCCTCGTTCCTCTTCCTTCTTCTTTGTTTGTCAATCACACTCGAAGAGAATCCAGCAAACTTTATTTTTAGTCAGCTGTAAAATATTTTTCAATATTATTCTTATAACAAGAATATTTATTAAACGAAGAGAATTCAGATGAAAAATGATAAAAGTTGATAAAATCTTTAATTTGAGAAAGATTTAGAATTTAATTAAATTTATAAGAATTTAGAAAAATTTATATGCTTCCACGAACATTAAAATAGATCCTATTATATTTACTCGTAAACAATTTGATAATGCATAAATGTAGACAATTAAATAACGAAAATTTAAAACTAAATAAATGTAGGTCTTATACGTCATTTACTATCTTTACCATTATTTCAGTATCACTTGTATCATTTTTCTATTGAGCCTCTCGAATATTATATTTCGCATAATTACCCATAGTTATTAATTATATTCTCTTCGACTGGTGAGATCTCGTTTCGCGTTCGACAGTCTGATACATATTTCACATATCGACGAATATAATTTTTCTTTTTCTTAAAAAAAAAAAAAATCATTTATTAGTTCGTTATCATAATTTTGTAACGCGATCTATCTCGTACGCTTCGCTCTCTTCGATATTAGGATTCGTTACCTATATTAATTACGATTATCTCAACCGATTATGTACGCCGCCATAGTTATTATTTTATTATTAATATTATTTTAACGATTATTATAATTACGGTTAATTTTATTACAAATGCAGCGTTCATATTTTGTTATTAAATTAGACTCTGTTGTTGAACGAATCTCGCATTTCATTTTATTATTTCCACTTATGTTGTGAATCCTTACCTTTACCCTCGTTTCTTTATCGTTATTATCTTTCATATTTTTGATGATACGAATGATTAATAATCATCAGTGGAAAAACTAAAGATACATACATATGGAGTACAGAGGAATACACGAAGATGTATTTTTACTGTTCTTCAGAATTTTTATTATAAATAAATCTTTGAATTGATACATCGTAGTATCCAACTACAACGACATTTTATTCTTGATAAATCCTTAATCAAGTTTGAACACCTTAGAAGAATAGTGCTCGCATCTCTTTGCAAGTGTTTTTTCTACGTCGCATCAAGCTTTCCTAATTTATTTGAATTGAGCGAACGAACTTCTAAAAGCTCAGACCACCTATATCTGTCTATCAATAAGTTATCTCAAAAAATCGGTTAATCTTTATAAAGCTTCGTTATTTCATCACACGGAAAAGAAAAACGAGACAAAACAATCGCACTTAAAAGTTTTGAATTGCACATAAATTAGACAGCAATAAAAAGAATATATGAAAGGTTAAATTTAAGAGTATTTATAAGTAATTGTTTCTAAAATTTCGAAGATATAAAGTTATTTAATTTGGTGAGAAAAATAGAATGTCAAGGTTCAGATTCTTAACTGAAACCTGATATTATATTCATCTTATGTGCATTCTAAGTCTCGTTTGATAGAAGGAATGAATAAAGTGCATTTCTGATCAATTATCACTCAACTAAAACAGCTATAATATATTATTAAGAAACACGTGATAAATAGTTAATCAACAAGTGTACTTCCTAAATAACGTGTATATATGGTTCCTTTTATGGAATCGAACCTGACATTAAAGTTCCTATATAAAATATCGAAAATATTTAACGTTGTGTCTTCTTCTCCAAACTAAATAACTTTATAAATTCAAATAATTTCAGAAGCAATTAATTTGCACAAACTGGATACATTGAACATGAAGTATAAACAGAATCAGAATAAGAAAAGAAGCGATAGAAGAAAAGAGTGAACAGAAAAGAAATCAACTTATCTCTCGTTGCGATAATGATACTCAAAGCTTATCAGATTAAATATCCTTACAATTAACAATTACTTTTGCAATGATAAATCATAAATATACGGACTTTTCTCTTCTCTTTTTTTGTTCTCGGTTTTTCTTCTTTTCATTTTTTTTTTCTTTTTTCTTTTCAAAGACAAATTCGAAGTACGATCAGTCGACGTTGCGATAAGGACTGCTTCAATTGAGATCCCGGATCTTCACAGACGGCAATATCGTCGAAAACATCTTAACCACCTCGTAATTCGCCGGTCTCGTCGCCGCTCCTCCTCCTGTTCCGGCCGCGTCCTACAAAAGAACCAGAATTATTCTGTAATATCTCGTTCTAACCAGTGTAATCTAACGATAGACTACTTTTATTTGCTGTCGCATACGGATGACTGAAACACGGCGTGCTATCAAATGTTTCTCTACACATGTGAAGAAAAAGAAAAGATATATATATATACGTGATAATCAAATATTAAAAAAAACTTTTATTTTTTTTTTATATAATATTTTTAAAATAAAGTGTACCTCACACAAACTTCTTAATAGAAGGAAAAACTGGTCTTGTTTTGGAAAAAATAAATTAGAAAATTTGATACATACATTTGAATAAATTTGAATATATGTAATATTCAAGAAAGTATAATATTTTGTAAATAGATTCTTTTTTGTTTTGTGTTTTATTTTTTTATATATTTATTTATTTATTTTTTAATCAAAGAAAATGATCATTATTGGTTTGATGATAAAATTTTAGATGAGATCATCTAGATGATCAACTGATGAACGAATGAAGAAATGAAAATCAATTATGTTGCATAATTTCGTTCAATACATGTTACGTGCTTGCTAATATTAATCTAATATTGAAAAGACAAATATATGTATTTATATGCATATTACGTCAAATACCTGTCCATACCGTGACTTAGTTCGTTAGCTACAATATAAAGAATTAATACCGTTTTAAATTTTATTCTAGAGTAGAAAAACACGAATTTAATTATTTATCGTTCGGGATAAACTTATAACGATAAAAAAAGAGAGAAAGAAAAAACACTCGATATTAAAAACACACATATCCTGGTATATATTAAAAATATTTCGTATTTTGATTAAAAACTTTATTTTCATCGCTACAATAATTTGCAATCGTAAAATACCTATGTGACATCACATGCACATGTCAATTTAATTAATTTTTGCCTCTCTCACTCTCTCTCTCTCTCTTGTATACATATGAAAATTTTTTATGTGCATAAAAAATTACAAAACTTTTTCTTATTTTTAATATTATCATTTATGTTATATTGATTCTTATCTCATATTTTTTATTTTTTTTTATCATTATATTTGAATAGCCTCTGAGACTTAAAAATAATAAACTATGATTTTGTACTTTTTGTCCTCCTCTGACTACTTTCTTCATTTTTTTTTTTTTTGTTTTTTTCAAATTCTATACAGTACAGAATTTGTATAAGCATCTGTTACTTCTTTACAAATATCTTTATATATTTCTTAAAAAAAATATATAAAAAAAGAGAAAGGTATAATGAATATAAAGTGAATGGTGAAATTTAAAAAAAAACCTATGGACAAATTCACAATATGAAAAAAGGAAGAAGTCAGAAAAATTCTATACACCGTTATTTACTCCGATACCTGCACATTAAAGGGGAAAAGCGGCCGAATTTCTTCAGTATATTATTCTTAATTACGTTGATCATATTAATGTAGTGTACTATCAGAAGATCTTGAAAAGTATTATAAATTTTCACTACCTCTGCGTATCTGATTGAGACATGCCAGCATTCTAATCATAAAAACAGCCGGCACAGTCATTGTGTCTTTCGTCTCTTCCAACATGACTGCATTCCTCTTTTTCAACTGTAAATAAAAATGCATATCAACAAATTATGTTTTTATATTTTATATTAAATATTTAATGATAAATAACAAGATAAAAACTTACATCTTCAGCAAACTTTTCATCAAAACTAGACTCTTCATTTATTGGTGCCCAAAGCTTAACATCATAATCAATACCGGCTGTGGCCAGTAATGGCAGGTACGGATGTGGTTGTAAACAGTTAACGACGTGTTGGTCGGCTTCCAATAGCATACACAATCTGGCCGTATCTTTTTCCCATATGAAGACGTGGCCACAATCACTACCCGACATGACGAAATCGTTGCCCCAAAAGTTTGCTTCTTTGATCATAGTCCTAAAGAAACTAGAGTCAAACGGGGGAAGACCAACTAATGAGATGATATGGCGGCCTTATAAGAAATGACCCACACCGTTCGAAGGCTTTTTCGGAATTGAAAGCGAGTCAACAATTATGGTTTCCGAGGGAAAATCAAACATCATTGTACAGACACATTGAATACAAAAGTTAAGACGTTATGTACATGAAAATAAAGGAACCAAACTCGCCGAATAGAATTGGTGTTTTAAAAAAGTTCCATTAATATTCTCTACTATAATATCATCATTGTTGATTATTATTTAACATTTAACCAATTAAAGAAATTTCGACAACAAATTTTATGTTAATCTTTTAGTCACAATATTTAATCATATACATTCTCGCAATATATAGCCTTCTCAAGGTTCCATCATTTATTACACGTGAATTGCGTTAATCGTTGACGACCACCAGATTAAAATTACAAAAATGAAAATGAATATACCTAGCATTACGATGCCCCATATATTTCTGCTTCACACGAAGTTCTGTTACACTAGTTTTGTCGAAAGTCGCCGACTCTCGTCGTGTTCGAACATCTCCAATAGCCTCTTCCATTTCAGTTTCAGCTGAATTTTCTAATCTATATAATAAAAATTCACAATTTTTTTATTCGAATATTTTAATTTATTCATCCTAATTATAGAATTTAAAATGTTTATAATATACCTTTCCTCAGATTGTATATCTTCATCATCGCTATCACTAAAAGCGCTCTCATCAGTCTCTGTCAAAAAGATAACACCCGTGATTTCTGATATTCTAAAAAATATATCTGTTTATGCTGCATTTACTTACTTTCTTGTATCATATCATTATATCGTATATGTTTGTCATGATTTTTGCCTGAGAATGTTCCACTAGTTCCAGATGGTCCTAATTCATGTTCAAAATGAATTAAAATGACGAAATAATTATAAAATAGTTTAAAAAATAATAATATACTTACCAGCGTGATAACCATCACGAATCATCTCATCAGCTACACCAAGAGATATCGTTGCGCTTGTTGAACTTTTATCCGTATAAGTTAAACTTACAGCAGGTTCGCTGCCGTGTCTATAAGTAAAACGTAAACGAATAGAAATATTCGATCGAAGTACCAATTTAACTCATTTATATTATTCTTTCTTAGATATCATACTTTTCAAGAAACCCAACTCTCATTTTCGTCAATCTATCTTGAAGATTTTCCATCATATGCCCTTCCTGTTTATTTTCCATACTGCTACAAGGAGAATCATCATTGCTACTTTGATCATCTTCTGGTATATCATTGGTTTTATCCAAAGTATGCGATGAACACGGTTGTGTAGAATACTTTTGAGTTTCTACAAGACTAGATTCAATTTCCATAGGAATATTTGATTTGAGTTCGACTGGCGAACATTCCTCCATCGTTTGATTTGAAGGCATAGTATCATTAGATGACACTTTCTCTTTTGTTTCCACGGAATGACTTGTTCCAGGATTACTTTGCATGCCACTAGTACTTGGATTTTCAGATTTGTTCATTTGATGGTCTGTAATAATAATAAATTGTTGATTATCATTCCAAAAATATAATAAAAATCAAAAAACTTTAAATAAAATATAATTAATACTTTGATTAGATTGAATCTGAGTTCTTTCAATTCTTTCGACTTCGTTATCCCGTCTTTCTTCATTAGATTCTGTAACATTTTCGTTGTTATTTTGAGTATTATCTTGATGATCAATCACACCTTCCAAACTATCTTCACCACCGCCACATAATGCAGCTCTAGTAGCTGGATCATTTAACATTCTACTAAGAACATCCGTCATTCTTTGCATTAACGATGTTTGAAGAACAGGTCTGGCTTGAGCAATTTCTGAAACATGCAAAGATAAACATATATATTGTATTTGTTTTATAAGTTAAAAATAACAAATATTTAATCTTCAAGTACCTGTACCGCTACGTCGACCTCCCTCACACTCAGGTCGAGCATCAGGACCAGTATCAGACCAATCTCCTCTAAGTCTTAATCTACGTACTGGTAATGGCGAACGTAATCTTTGCTTCTTACCCTCCCCTTTTCTAACTGCGATATCTTTCTTTAACTGTACACTAGCTTGGTCCTAAATAAAACAATCGATTTTGAATATAATACATATTTCTTTAAAAAGAAAATATATCTTGTACCTTCACATTGAACAAATAAAGATGATCACTGCTATAACTAACAAGAACATCCTGACCATCAGGGCTATAATTTAAAGATGTTATTCTATAAGAATTTCCTTCAAATTCAGGAACAGTGAAAGTACATAAAGGTTTTACTGCTCCAGGTGTATCTGTCCATCCTGAAATTATTTAACAATCTTTTATTTGTTTTTCTATTTAAGTTTTCTAATTAAATTAAATATTTTAATTACCAGTGGCAGGTGTTCCAAGTGTTCTTCTATCAAGTATTCTAACTGTACTATCAGAACATCCTATTGCTATTTGATGGGGTGAAGCAAGATTTACAGAAAGAGCAGTTATAGCTCTTTCGCACGAAACTAATACATCTTCTGTACATCTTGAAGCATTACATTTATCCTTTATTCTAAGATCAAACCATCTCACAGTTCCATCTTCTCCGCAACTTAAAAAATTATGCGGTTCGCCAGGTATTGTCGCTATTTCATATGTAGTACCAACATGACAATTAAATTGATTATTAAATGTTTTTGTTCTTCTTATTAAATCTATAATGGAAATTTTATTATTATAAATCAATTACCATGTTATATTTAATGAAAACTCATCAAATCTTCACCTGTATATAAAATAATACCATCACCACTACAAGAAACTATCCGATGATCTCCACTATTAGGCAAAAACTTTGCACTAAATATATTCGCTCTATGACTGGTTTTATAATCTGTTAATACCTGTAAAAAAAAAATCAAAAGTATTGATGGTTCTTTAACAAAATATTTTTGTCTATTAAGCATATTTTTACTTAAGAATAATTTTTATTATTTTTTCATATTAAATATATATATATAGAAAAATATAAATAATTATTAAATATATATAGACCTTCTTATTAAATTAATAATTAAATTAATAGTTCTAGTACTAGTAGATGATAAAATTAGCATGCATGTATTACATGCAAGGGTTTTTGTTCATTTGGCAAAGCTACTACATTTCTATCTATGTCAATGTTAGACCTTGACTAGAATTAAATTTAATGATATTTCCTTGAAAAAAGATTATTGCCAATGAAACTTTCTTCAATATACTTTCTTTTAATCAAACTTACTGTCACTTAATCTTGTAAAAAAAAAATATATAAATATACAAACTTTGTAAATAATGACAAAAACATTTTTATAAAGATATTGATATGATATCAAAAATAATATTATTTTGTGGTATATTTATAGCAATATAATAATTTAATAATATTATCAAGTCAAACATAATAAAAATTATAAAAATGAAATATAAGAATATATATATTTTCTATTAATAAATAATATTAATCATTTAATTATAACCAAAAGATAAATATTATAAAAAAAATATAAATACAAGATAAATATTAATAAAATACCACAAACAAAGAAGCATACAAAAGCCTTTTAAATCATTTTGTCAAGGATGAAAATATAAATAACCTTGGCATGGAATTTTACAAGATATGAATATAAGTAAAAATAATATATATATTATATATGTATATATAAATTATAAAATATATTATAAAATAAAAATATTTTAATATAATAATTATATACAGCTTAAATTTATTGTAATATTATAATTGTAATATTATTGAAAAGTTTATTAAAAATATATTCTTTTAAAAAAATTAATTATGTTTTATTATATTTAAACTTTTTAATATATTTTAATTGAAAATATATAAATAATAAAAATTATAATCCTCTACAAACTTGACACAGATATATAAGATTCTAATTTAATTAAATGCATAGAAATATGGATTAATGAAAATAAACACATACCTCATAATTATAAGCATTTGTAAGGACAAGATGTTGATCATCACTACCAGATAATATCAATTCTCCAGTAGCATTCCAACAAACAGAATTTACACAACCATTATGAACTTTTAATCTTCTCAATAATGCCATACGCTGCATCATTTGAAGACTTGCTAAAATATATGAATACTAATTTTAATAGAATTTTAAAATAGACAAAAAATATATTTGAATTTATTTTTATTTTAATTTTGCATATATAATTGTCTTTATGTAAAAAAAAATTTATAATTTATTACAAATTTGTTTTATTTATATAAATATAAAAGTATTTAATTTTTAATATTTTTTTTGCAATTATGATTATTAAAATAAAAGTAAATTTTTATTTTATATTATATTTTACCACATGTTATTAACGAAATTTTAATTTCACAATATAATACGAAATACCTTTACTGCTGGAATAAAGCTTCATCCTCGTATAATCATTGTATGGCTGATAATAAATGTCACGAAATATATTTGAACGTGTCTTCTTCATGATTATTTCTTAACTATTATCGTTAAATTAAAGCGTCAATTTTCGGAGTACATCGATTCTAAATTAATGTCAGATTTCTGATATCTATGGTGAGTGACGAACAAATTTGTCAATCACCAAAAAAATCTTTTTTTGTATAGACCAAATCAAAGAGCAAGTAACATGCTCTTACGCAGCAAAAATCCACGAGGATCATACCAAGACGACATGGCACTGGTACTAAAAATAAACTCCAAAGCTTCGAAAATTTGTGCAATCAGATGAACCGCGATTGCTTCTAACCAGAACAGCTGAGCGAATATACACATACAATGTCGAGAAGAAAGTGCGCGAGAACTCGATCATTTCATAGGAGGTATAATCGATGTCGACAATGACGTAGCATAGATTTAGAGAACCCTTCTTTTACAATATTTACAATAGATTAAAAAAGAAAAGAAAATATTTTTTGTTAAAATATACATAATCTTTAATCTTTAAATCTTCTAATCTTTATATTTTTAATTAAATTTTATATTTAAATTCTATTTATATTTTTATTTTTAAACAATAAGTTTTAATTTTATATATATATATATATATATTCAAAAAATTTATGATAAAATCTAATTAAGGTGATTTTCATTAAATAAGTCTTATCAAAATATTTCATGAATGTTCAGCAAGATAATCTTACATGAATCTCGAATATTAAAGAAACTATCGATATATCGAAATTCTCTATCGAAAAGTTTACATTTTTTCAGAAAGATTTTGCGAAGCGTGTGCCAAATGATTTCATCATTATCGTGATTCATTTGTGTCCATTTCCATTATTATCACATTTTCTATAAGCAGTGGAGAAGAAATAAATGTACTCTTCAAAAAATATTAACCAAGCCGTGCGAAGGCTACATAAGGTTATGACTATTTAGCATTTTAAAGAATTTCGATTAGCTGATACTAAAACATAAAGTGTTTTGGCATTAATAACATTAAAATGACAGTTATGGATTTTTTTGGTTGTGCCTTTTTGGCTTTTGGCCCACCATTAGCTATGTTTACATTTACTGTCGCAGCTGAACCTATTAGAATTATTATACTAATAGCCAGTGCCTTTTTTTGGTTAATTTCTTTATTGTTGTCATCCGTACTCTGGTATGCTGTAGTGCCACTACAAAATCATCTTGCATTTGGACTTGTATTTTCTGTATTATTTCAAGAGGCATTCAGGTAATTAAAATCTTAAGTTATGATATATTTATATTTTTTATTTTAATTATCTAAAGTTATATTTTTCGACTTTTTTGTCATTTTTGTACAGATATCTCTTATACTGGGTACTAAGAAAAGCTGAAAGAGGGTTAGATAAAGTAACAACAACACATGTGGCAGATAGTAGACATGTATTTGCATATGTATGTGGTTTAGGTTTTGGTTTTATGAGTGGTGTTTTTGCACTAGTCAATGTCTTAGCAGATGCTGTTGGACCTGGAACAATGGGACTTCGACAAGGCACAGAGTACTTTTTTGTAATATCAGCAGCCACAACTCTTTGCTTTATCTTGCTACATACATTTTGGGGTGTTGTATTTTTTTCTGCTCTGGATAGAAAAAATTGGGGGCAAGTTATTTGGGTTGTTGGCTCACACTTGTTTGTGTCATGTATGACCTTGTTAAATGTAAAAGAAGCTTATGTAGCTACTACTTTATCTGCCTATGTCATTTTGATGATAACAACTGCACTTGCATTCAAAGTTGCAGGTGGCAGACCTCAAAGTATAGTTCAATGTTTTTCAAGACAGTAAAAGGAGGAATTTTTATAAGAAGATTAAAATATAAATAGTTGTGTTTGATCTAAATGAACATTACAAAATGACAAAGTTTCTTTCCTTAGATATTAGACCACAAAGAGATTGTTCATTGCTCTAATATACACTATGTGTAAAAAGATATGATGTTAAATTAACAGACCATATCTTATTCTTTGATATTAAACAAGCTTATAATGATCAGGAATATATTCATATAAGTCTAAATTATATTAAATTCACTTAAATAAACTTCTACACTTGACCAAAATAAGTAGGAAAATCTATTAAGTGTATCAGTATTATTTATCCTTCATATGTAATATTTTACTACAAATATAAAAATTTTTTGCAAAAAGTTATACTAAATGATAATACGTTCTAGCACAGAATTATTTGGTCAAGCTGCTAGTCCGTCCCTTAACCCATCGAAACAATTATATAATCAAAACGCGATAATGTTTCGATCCAAAATATTATGAAAAGAAAAAATAAAGTCTAAAATGAGTGTGAATGTACATATGTAAGAATGTATGTATACATATATAATGTATATGTTCTATCAAACAGAGAGTAAATTTGTGTATTAATTCACGCCTTACATCTAAAAACAAACTATTTCAAAAAGTTATAAAAATGACGATAATATGTAAGGAATTGTTTAGTAGTTTTTGTATGTATATAAGAGTCATTAACAATTGTAATTTAGGTGTTTAATATACATCTGTATATTTGGCATTGTGTTTCACTTACCATTTCATGATTTATTACTCTTCATATTACATTTCATATGTCATTCAAATAAAAACCATTTTTATATAACTAAACGTATATTTAATTATATAAACCTTATTCTGAATAATAAATACCACAGAATGAAATAACGTAATACGTTTAGGGTATGAAAAGAAAACAACAAATTCACTTTCAAAAAGTATGAACATTTTAATCATTTTTTCGTTGAAAAAAGAAAAAATTATAAAATAAAATGAATCACAGTCACGAGATTACTCGAACAAATTCACTTATGATTCAATTATACAATAAAAAAGATATATATTAAACACAAGATAAAATTTGGATTTTTAATCATGTTTTCACCCTGTGGAATAAATTCCTAGTCAGTCATTGATAACATCTAGGAACTTGTTAAGGAAGCCATAAGTAATTCCATTTTGTTTAAAAAATTCTTTCCTTCCATTTTGTCCCACCGAACTTCTTTGAAAGAACCACCTAAATTTTCCCATTTTCTTTCTCTTACTAATTGCCCAGGAAAGAAATCTTTTCTGGGAGAATGAGCTATCGCAACTTGTACTCCTGTTTGTGGTTCACATCTAACAGCTATCATTCTAAAATCGCAATAATTGTTTTAAATGAAAATATTTTTTTATTTAAAAAAAGAAAAAAAAATCAAATACCTATCGCCTATTGGTGAAGCTAAAATACAACTACTGGCATTTCCTAGAGGTTCAACTGCACCTAGACCAAGGTGTGAACTATTAGCTAAAAATTGCCAACCCATACATTTTGCTAATGCTTGTACTGCTGTTATTTGATGCTGATAAATCTGTAATGTAATAATATAAGAAATAATTATGTAATAATATAAGAAATAATTATGAATATATTCAATAAAGATTAAAATATAAAATATATATATATATATAATTACCTGACAAAATATTAAATCACGTAATTCTTGAGGTTCATAACTCATATGCATTACTCTACCATCTCGGCACACACATTTGAGAGATTTTTCTCCTATATGAACAACAAGTGATGTTCGATATACAGTGTCATATCCATGTGTTAAAATATTAATCTTTACACACGATTGTGTAGGAGAATTCAATGCATTCCAATGAGATACAATTAAAGGATCTTTCACTTCTTTTGCTATTGTATCTAACACATATTCGGTGCGCAATCGCATAAAATAATGTTGAGCCTGTTGGATAATTTGTTCTAAGAGAGTTTGACTTTTTGTCATTTCTAAAAGTTCGTATCGATCGGCAGCTGTTGGACCAGCTAAACATCTTCTTTTACTAGGTCCAAGGGGTCCAGAAGAAGGATGTGGAAATGGGTGATGAGTATTTTTGTGATGAACTTCACGTAAAAGTTGATGCAAAGAATGCTCTAGCACATGATCATGTTCGCTTTTATGAGGAGGAGGAGCAGTTGGTTTTTTATCGTTTCCCGTACTATGACAAAGTCCTATAATTAATTGAATTCCAGGCAGCACCTAAATTATAAATCTTTATACACAATGCACTATAAATAAGTATAACAGTTAATAACAAAAAAAATTACTGTTGCCATGATTTGATTGCCAACGACCATGTGAGGTATAGGCGCGCGTAAATGTACAGCTTCTCTTGCTAATTGACTGAACAATTCTTTACAAAAAAGAACATTTTGTGCAGCTTCCAATTTTTGTTGCCAGTGCATATCTGCATTGGAACTATGTGCACTGTTATTAAGTAACTTATATTTGCACTACATAAATCTTCTTGATCTACAAAAAAATTAAATAAAATTATATATTAGATAAAAAATTTAAAAATAAGATTTCCAACATCAAAATTATCTATTCTTTAAATATACATAAACACACACCCACCCACCACACACACACACACCACCACCACCACACACACACACACACACACACACACACACACACACACACACACACACACACACACACACACACACACT